GTTTTTTTCCTAATTTTAATCCTAAGCTAGAATAACCACATCTTCCACTAAAAAGGGCAGTTCCAATTATTCCTCCATCTCTCTCAACCGCCAGGTAACCTCCTTCCATCGGCTCCCAACCGGGTTCCACTCGTTTTGAACATCTTCTGTTGTTTCTGGACCGGGTTCCATTCGATCTGAACTTCTTCCATTGCCTTTGGATCAGACCTGCAACTTACCCTGACTTGCTTCTATCATACTCCTAGCCGGTCTACGGAGATATGTCCCCAACAACCTCGAGTTACATGGAATCCTCCTCTTTTTTCTTGTGTTTTGACCCATAGAACCTTCCATATAGGACATGTAGGTGTTGGGGTCTTCCGTTCATGTTACGAAGTTGCCAACCCAGGGTTGATGGAGTTTGTTGTCCAGAGGCTTGTGGAAGCCATACCCTTTTACTCCATGGAAGCTCCGCAACCCGAAGGAAGTTGTTACCTTCAGCTTTGAGTCATTTGGACTTAGGGTCCAAAAAATTTATATTTGTGTTTTAATCAAAGTTCATATTTTTTGCATCAACAAAACAAATATCTTATGCTAGCGTCATCCAGTTGTGAGCGTGATATGAAGAAGAATGATATTTTACTAATCTAAAGAATTAAACTTCGCGTTTTACACCACAAAAGTAGTAAATTTAGCTAAGTGCGGAGAGTAAATAAGATACGTGGGGAGCACGCGACTTCTATCACAAGTGCTTCCAACCACCCATGATAAACTGTAGAGCTATTTATAGTTTGAGCTATTCCTAAAGTGTTCGCATTTTTTAGTGAGTGGAATTGTTATAAATTATTCAAATCGACCTTTATTTATAAGCACAAACAGAGCTTCTAGAAGGTTAGTGATTACATTTTCCAGTTGGCGATGACTCTCAGTCATCCAATCCAGCAAATAAAAATTTGAATATTCGAGATTTACTCTACACGGATCATGGTGGCCTATACAAGATTGAATATTAAACCACCTATCCCTTTAATTTCCAGTACTTTACATTCTCTTTCTTTACAGGGATGGTATTAACGAAGCGTATTCATTGTTGTTTATGATATTTAAGGGGAAATGTTATAAGTCATTATATCTATTACTCATTATATTTTATAGATGTCATCTTGCATGCATTTCCATGTAATATAGGTATGGTGACTAAGCACTTATGTTAATACAATGATTTGAAGAAGATTATTGATGGTGGCGGCCGATGGTTTCGATGCGTCAGGAGAAGATGCTGTCGTCGTTGGAGAGAGAGAGACAACATTGACGACGGCGTGGCTGGGCGGCACGGATTTCAATTGGTCCTAGACTTTGCATCTATGGCAAGGGAGGAAGAAAGGAGAAAGGAGACGGAGTTGCACTTCGTCGGAGTAGCGGGGTGAGCGGTCGACGGGGAGAAATGTCGCCGACGATCGAGGAGCGAGAGAGGCACTGCCTGGTGCGGTGGAGAAGCGACAAGAGCTATCAATGTTGAAATTCATGAGGTTTTTGGATGATATAAGACTAATCCGATTATACATTTCCATGTTAGGTTGGCTTATGAATCGCAAGCCTTGAAGAAAGAAATACATAATTAGCAGTAGAGGACCTAGGCAAGCGTGAGCAGCGGCGGTCGATCTCAATTGATGTCGGCATGGTTGGCGGCGGTCCGAAACTGGTGGTGTGCAGCGGTCCGGTGTTAGCTCGGCGGCTGGTGTAGGGCGGCGTCGGTCATGCGAAGGAGAGGGGAGGCGGGATTTTGGAAATTGAATTGTGAAATTGAATTAAAAATATAGGTATGTTTAGATAAGATGAGGGATTTTTTATATATAGGTAAAATGACTAAAATGTCCTATTTCTTAACTAATATGTCTTGGACTGCTGTTGAAAGATGTGACCACACCTAAGGTTCGGTCCACCACTATTTTGTGACCGAATCTGATGTAACTACACCTAAGGTGGGGTTTTCTACTATTTTTGCAGCCAAAATCCAATGTGATCATATCTAAGCATCTAGTGCCCAATTCAACTTTAAAAAAAAAAAAAAAAATTACCAAGGAGTTTTCCTACAAAATAAAAGATCCAAATCAAATATAAGCGGAGATTAAAAATAAACTAAAATTTAAAGAAAACAATAAAACTAAAACTAAAAAATTTGGGTTGCCTTGCAATAAACGTCTTTCTTTTTAACATCTTTGGCTAAACGTAGTTTTCAAGTCATTCATTTGGAAGAACGAACCGTCTTGCCCACCACAATTTATGTCTTTTATTTCAATGTTTAAAATGATGATTACTCACAAAAAATTATTTTTGCAAGATTAGTATCATTATTTAAATGAGCAGGCTCCAATTGATTCGGTGAGGGCTTCGATTTTACGTCCATAATAGATTTATCGTACAATCCCAAGACTCATTGTATACATTTTTTAATAACATTCACACTATACAAGGTATTAGGTTTCACATGGTATTTCATAGCATAAAAAAATATTAAGTTGAACATTTTCACCATCAAATTCCGGCTAAATCGCACAAAATCCATCTGTAGTTTCACAAAATTGCGTCAAATCTCCTATACTTTTAAAACTGTATCAAACTCACTCGTGGTTTCATAAACTCTGCGTCTAACCCCTTCGATGGTCCTTATTTAACGGGATTTGACTTAAATGCACTCAAACTGCGAATAAATTTTAGAATCTCACTTTCTAAACCCCTAAAATTACAAATATATTTATTTTTCTTATATTTAGCCTAAAAAACAGTATAACTAAACTTTTAAAACCTGATAAAAATAACTATTTTTTAGTATATTTATTATTTTTTGAGGATAAATATAAGAAAAAAGAATATATTTGTAATTTTAGTGGTTTAGAAATTGAGATTTAAAATTTATTCGCAGCTTGGACGCATTTATGTCAAATACCGTTAAAGGACTGTCAAGGGGGTTAGGCGCAGAGTTTATGAAACCACGAGGGAGTTTGACGCAGTTTTAGAAGTATAGGGATTTGGTGAAATTTCATGAAACCACATGTAGGTTTTGTACAATTTAGCCTCAAATTCCATAGTAAGTTACCTTGTTCCACATCAATTATGGTGCGTATAGTGCACATGAATGGCCTACCAAGAAAAATCAATAAAGGATTTGGAGAGTTATCATCATGCATATCAAACACATAAAAATCAACTAGAAAAAATAATTCGTTCACTTGCAGACATCTTCAATTATTCCTTCATGGTAAGCATCTGTCTTTTCGGCTAATTGTATAATGAGTTTCTTTTAAAGGCTCAATATTCAAAGACTTATAAATAGATTTAAGCATCACATTGATTGCGGCTCTCTTTCGGAATATCTCCATTATCTCTTATTTTTATCATTCCTCTTTGGTTTTGCCAACCTACAAATAAATGGTACATTATTAGTTTTAGAATTAGCAGATAATTCCGATGTTACCTTGTTCGATTCTTTATTGGCGATTTTTTCTATTTCTTTCTCAATGCCATTCTCATTCTTGTCCTTTGAAATTTCAACTTCTGATTATTCCAATCTTTGCCATTTTGTATAAAAATTGAGCTTACATTCTTCGGACTACCGTCAGGTTATGAGGGCAATTTGTTTTTTTTTCTCTTGACTTCATCTCGTTCACCTTATTCATCACTTTGAGAAATTTTTTCCTCTAAATTCCTTATGTTATTCCGAGTTTTTTTGTTGAAATTGCAACATACTAGATGCCATGGTTTTCATCATATCCTCGAAAGAATTACTTGAAATTATTTGAGAAGGTTGTGGAAAGTGGTTAGGTGCTTGGAATCTTCTCGAATGATCCCCAATGTTGGCTTATTGATTTTCATACTTCAAGTTCGGGTGATCACTCCATTCTTGATTGTAAGTGTTCGAGTATCGGTAGTATTCTCTTGGAATGAATCTCGAGGCATTAACATCTACTCTTTGAGTCAAAGTAGGACAAATATTGGTCAGGTGTTCCAAACTTTTGAAAATCCCACAAGGCTTAACTTGTAAGTTCCCTACAATTCTCTATTTCAATCATAAGAATACGTATATATTTATAGTGATATACCAATCGTCTAAATAAGACCAGAATCCTACGAATCTCTTAAATAAGATAACTACCATAAATATGATATTGCTTCTAAAAATATATTAACACCCCTCCTCAAACTCAAGATATGATCGAAAAACTTGAGTTTGTCAGAAGTGACCAAAAATGATATAGCCGAAATCTTCCACGTACGAATTTGAATTCTTCAAGATTGAATGAAAGTGATGTAGCCGTCCACTGGATCAGATTCAGAAGCAGAACTCTCAACACCGTTAGAGTTGGAAACATGACTCACTATGAGTCGAAAACAGGACTCGCTCACTCTTAATAGAGCTAAAGTCAGAAATAGGACTCCCTCACTCACAATAGAGCTAGAGTCGGAAACAGGATTCTCTCGCTCTCAATAGAGTTAGAGTCGAAAACAGGACTCTCAACAGCATTAGAGTCAGAAGTAGACTCTATCAGTGGAGTAGTAGAGACGGAGTCGGCATGAAAATAATAGCATGACCGTGAATAGAAGCAAATACATCAATAAAATATAAAAACATATACGGGATATAACGGATCATAGATGTACCCAGAGAGAATTTGACTCTAATACCATGTTAGAATATGAAATTGAAATTCTCTATTTCAATCATAAGAATACGTACATATTTATAGCGATATACAAATCATGTAAATAAGACTAGAATCTTACGAATCTCTTAAATAAGATAACTACCATAAATATAATATATTGCTTCTAAATATATTTTAACACTTCCTTAACTACTACCACTTCTCATTGATCGAATTGTTGTGAATTCATTGTCATGTTATTTAGTAAGTCTCACATCTCTCTAGGGGTTTTGTTCATCAAGACTCTAATTGCTGCGTCTATGATTCTCCTATTGATTGAAGTCAAATCTTCATAAAAATACTGAATCAGTAATTGGAATTTGGTGTTGAGGACATCTAGTAATTAAAGCATTAAAGCGATTCCAATATTTAAATAAAGATTCTCCTGTATGTTGTGTGATTTCACATATCTCTTTCCCCATGTTTGCAACTCGTGAGGCAACAAAGTATTTGTCTAGAAACATTCTCTTCATATCAGCTAACGTAGTAACGCTTCCGGCAGGTAGATTGAAGAATCAATTTTCCGCAACGTCTTCAGTGATAAAAGAAAAACAAGAAGTTTGATTTGATCTTCTGTTACTCGTGGTGGCTTCATACATGTACGCAGTGTTACCTTTTATCATCGGAATGTGATGCAAGGAGTTGTTGAGTCAAATTAGGAGCTGTTAGCTCCCTTATGTCCTTTTATCTATCTTTTCTTCTAGTTCGATATCGTCAGAGCTAAAATCACTAGATAATTCAGTTTCAAAATCTTTTTGATGTTGTTCCCTAGTTTCTTTTCTCATTCGATGCATAATCTTCTCAATATCGAGATCGAAAATCAATATTCATATATGATTAGACTTAGACATAAACAAGAAAAATTAGAATTTTTTAAATAATAGAAAACAAGTAAAAATAAAATAAACAGCGTCAAAATTTGACAGCGTTCATCACACGCTGCAAACCACATATGGTTCGCCTGGTGTAGTTTGTCTTGCCGAACTTAGCTTGTACAACAGCAGTAACAGTTGCGGATTTCATGTCATAAAACAAAATATATAAAAATAATACATTTTCAAAACAAAACCTTATTACAGTGTCTGGACACGACACACTGATCATTACAAACAAAAACCCATTCGAAACCTCGAAACAAAAATCAACCATCAAAGGATGATTCGACATTGTCGACGAACAAAGCCCCAGAAGGTCCAGTCTCAGGCAAAACGGCAACCTTGACAATATACCGACTCCCTTCCTCGACAGGGATCAACCCTGTGTAAGCATTGAAGTCTGTCTTGACAAATCCAGGGCAGACTGCATTCACCTTCATGTCCGGACACTTTCTGGCCACAATTCTTGTCAGGGCATTCACTGCTGCCTTCGAGATGATGTACGCTGGGAAAAGGCCAGGCCACCCCTTCTCTTCGAACCTCCCATCCTTAAAATCTTCGAGGAACTGTTTCAGCACGTTCTCCACTTTCTCCTCTGTCAGATTCTGGCCATCTCCCAGCTCCTTTCTTGCCCATTCATGGGACAAAAACTGCAGAAAAGAATATTCTTTATTTAATTAGGGTTTTTTTTTTTTTTAATTTTAATTTTTAATTTCTTCATCAACCTTGATTTGGGTAATATACATTCGTAAATTCCAATACCTTGAGTTTGCCCAGTGAAGTGGAGACATTGACAATTCTTGGGGAAGATGAGAGGATTAGGAGAGGGATGAATGCCTGAATGAGCCTTTTTGTGCCGTAGTAATTTGTCTGCACACATTCTTGGGACAGCTCGTATGTTTGCCCATAAATTTCGAGCCAATTCACTGCAAGGCCTGGTCTCTGCACCAATGGTTTTCCCAAATTCAGACAAGATCGCAAGAATACATACATATATATATATATATATAGATATGCTGTGAATTGTGGAAAGAATGGATTGAAGAAGATGATTACATAGCCACCAATGGCTTTTAGTGCATCAACATCTGTACTGACTCCACCCACTCCAGCATTATTCACCTGCAAGAAAAGATATCAATTAAAGAAGAAGATCCACTCAAGTTAAGGAATTGAAGCACATGTTTAATTAATTGAGACAAACCAGGATATCCAGCTTCCCAAAAGTGGTCTTAACAAAATCAGCTAGGGCAGCAGCACTTGCATCGTCGAGGACGTCAAGTGTGTGGAAAACAACATGTCCAGAAAGCCCCAATTCCCTGAGCTTACCGACGGCTTCATTTCCCCTCTTCTGATTTCTTGCAGTGAGCACCACAGTGACCCCCTGGGAAGCCAGCTGCTTGCACACTTCAAACCCAATCCCCTTGTTTGCACCTGTCACTACTGCAATCCTGCAACGGAATTTCTTAATTTGTGTAAATTGGATTACTTATTCTTGATCAGGAAAATAATTAATTAATTAATTAATTATACCTCTTTGATTCTGCCATGGATCATGTATGTGTTGAAGCGCTCTCTCTCTCTCTCTCTTCTCAATGTGGGAAGAGGCAAAGCAGTGTAAGGCGAGTGACTGAACAGGCAGAAATCAAGAATGTCCGAATCTTACATTTTTGTTCAAATCATGTTTTTTAGGGACTATATATACATATATTCTGAAAAGCTACCAATGCATTCAGCCCACCAATTTATACCGATTCTCTCTGTCGCCTTTCTGCAGCCCCCAAGGGATTGTTAATTCTTACAACAACCACTTCCTTCGAGCTCAATTCAGACAGGACAAATCCATGGCGTTGTCAAAGTTGAATTTCCCCTCACCAAACTTGCAAATTTCCACACAGTGTGCTAAATAGACATTAAAGAATAAGAATCAGGTGAGCTGACAAAAAGTGTTACTACCACTAGTCTCTCAATCTAAATAATAATTTGATCTAACGATTTTGTAAAAAAAAAAAAATACTCATTTTGTCCTACCTATCATGTTCACTGTCGTTTATATCCGTCTCATATCTTATATCACTTTTTATTTTTTTAAAAATAATTACATATTTTAATTTTATTTTAAATTTTTTAATTTAATTTTTTTTAAATTTTAATTAAATTAATTATTTATCTTCATTTTAATATATAATATAGAATAATTATTTTCACTAATATATTTTAAATTATCTACTAATTATACTTATTATAAATTTAGGTGCAAAAATACAATATGAAACGGAGTGAGTGATATATATAATTTTTAAGAGAATACGGAAATTGCATAGTAACAAAGCAAAGCCGTAACGAAACAAAGTAGATGAACATGGAAGAATCATTCGACGAAAGATGAGACTTCCATTCTTGAAAAGAACACTCCGGAAGGGCCGTCGTCGGGTAGGAGAGCCAGCCGGACAGCGCTCTCGGCGCCTTCTGCAAGTGACAGAATGCCGGTGTTTCCATTCATATCCGTTCTGACATATCCCGGGCAGACAGCGTTGATTTTGAACGCCGGGTACTTCCTTGCAAGAATTCTTGTGTAAGCAATCATGGCAGCTTTCGAGAGTGTGTATGCCGACAAGAATCTCGGCCAGCCTTTGGCATCTAAGTTCCCGTCTTTAAAGTCTTGAAGAAACTCATTCAGGACATGATCCACACTGTCCTCCCCTAGATTCTCCGATTCGATCAGCGTCTTCTTAGCCCATTCGTTGGGGATATTCTGAAATTGATCCAAAGTTTTGCACCGTAACATACAATCTGATCGATCGACGAGGGAAAGGGACCATTTTGAATTCGGAGTACGTACCTTAAGTCTGCCGGTTTCAGAGGAGACATTCACAATTCTTGGAGAATCAGAAAGCTGGAGAAGAGGAATAAACGCTTCGGACAGCCTCTTTGCTCCGTAGTAATTTGTCTGCACACCTTCGGCTGCGGCATCGTATGTCTGTGTCATAATGTCGTCCCAGTTGACGTTGAACCGCAGTATCTACAACAACAGAAAGTTTACAGGACAAACAAGAATCGTGAGCATAATCAGACGGATAAACACATACAGAAAGAGAAGAATTAATGATTGTGCAGAATGAATCAAGACAGGAAAATAAAGGCGAATACAAACATCGTCTGGGTTTAAAGCTTTCATTTTATCGAAATCGACAATTGCCCCAGTGATCCCTGCATTGTTCACCTGACACCAAAAATTCGAAGAAAGTAGCCCTAATCACTAATCAGACATGCTTACACACACATATATATTCATACACAGACAAATTAAATAATGTATCCAAGTGAATTGTTCGTCATGGATGGTTAAGCCCTGAAATTAAACATATGTATATAACCATCCATCCAGGTGCAGCAGATTCAAGAATGAGTGTTAGAATGGTGGGTCTTACTAAAATGTCGAGCTTCCCAAACCTAGAGTTGACGAAATCAAAGAGGGCAGAAATAGTGGAAGAATCGGTGACATCTAGTTGATGGAACAGGACACGATCAGATTGATGATGAAGTTTATGCAGTGCTTGAAGGCCCTTGTCCTGGTCCCTCGCAGTCAAAATCACTGTGATTCCATTTGCAGCCAGCTGGTTGCAAATCTCGAAGCCGATCCCCTTGTTGGCCCCGGTCACAACAGCACACCTGAAAAGCAATCGGAAATCCCCGTACCCATTTCAAATCCCCATATACATATATATATATATATATGATGAATCGGCGAATCAGGAGCTGAATGAGTTGACCTTGCGCCTGCTGATTCCGCCATTGATGGATGGATGGATGGATGGATGATGGGTTTTGGCAATCTGCTCTGCGCACTCTCATATAATGGAGTCTGGGAGCTGCCTGGCTGACGTTAAGCCGGGATCTTGGGAGCTCCTACGACTACAACTCCGATCCGCATTACCTAGAACTAGAAGGCAGAAGCTCAATTGGGTGGTGAATTATCTGGTATTAAGGTCCTGGAGCTCCCAAGTCAAGCAACCTCAGTACTGAATATTTGGACAATAATAATATATTATTAACTACTACTGGCCGGCACACTACACTACACTACACTACATTACACGGCACGAGATTAATTTTGAAAAAGTTTGTTTAAGCAGTATTGTCAGTGTGGAGACGGAACTTGTTTCTAAAGTTTGAGATTTAACAAATCATGAAATTGAAGAATAATTCAATATGGAGAATGAGTTTATTATTGTTGTGGATCTGAAAACAACCAAGTATCAAGATTACTTTTTACTTCTAACCATAACCATGATTGATTGAAACCTCTTTGATTTTGGATAACGTGGAATTCCCACTCGCTATCCGAAAATGCGCACTGGATAAACTTTCGTCCAAACCTAACACCCTACAAACTATTTCACTATTTGGAGGTTTTGATTTAACTCTGATTCTTTTTCGAATTGGGCCTTTGAATTCTTTCTCATTTCAAAGAGTGTTGACAAACCAAAAATAAGAAATACACTTTTAATATGAGGAGTGAGGAACACCTCCACTCCAAATCTCATTTATAAAGTAAAAGTCTAGTGAACAGAAAAGACTTTCAATAGAAAACGTATGCCACGATCTCAAAGGATCAAAGTCATAACAACCAACACATGAATCAACAGGAAAGCATCGTGTTCACACCGGAACACTTACAAACCTTAACAGTTGAATAAGAGAAAATAGCAAACTGAGGGTTTAACAATACAAACAATATATGTAGCAATCCAGTAGTATCGACTGCCTCTTTAGTGCTTTCCTTTTATTCTTGTTCACCAAAACCAGACAGCTCTAAATCATTCCAAATTGAACCAGAAATCTACGGAAGGAAACGAAGTGATAGAAAACTAGCAAAAAAATGTGATTGTAGTCAAGCAAGATGAATGAAGAGAAAATCGATACGGAGATCGATTCTAGTACGAATGAAATGAGGCAGAGTGAAGCGATTCAAATAACCGCGTGCAAAAGTGCACAAGTGAAAGAGCAGTGTATGGAAGAGCTAGTTATGGAGATGAAGTAGTTCTTTGTGCTCTATGTGTGGATGCGAGTGAATGAATGAAGTTGAAGATGATGGTGGATTCTGCACTGTGTGTGAGAGACGAAAGTGTATAACAGAGAAGTAAAAATGGATTCGTACTAGGGCACGGTGAGAAAGATGGCGAAGTGAGATAGAGAGTGAAAGTGTGAATAAATAAAAGATATAAATATATATATGGATCAGATCCAGAAGTAAGAAAGTTTGGGCCAAAACCATCACTAGTGCGGCCCAAGAGGAGTAACTTGTTAAGAAAGAGCTTGGCAGGCTTCAGCCATTCGACCTCTGAAATTAATTAGAGCTGCACCTTTTTGTGCAGGCTTTGCCCAAATTCGTGCAAGCTCTCGTTCATGTTTTTTGATACCTCTCTGTATATATTTACTAGCACTTTATTGAAAATATTAACATCCTAGTAATAATAATAATAATAATTTTATGTATTATATGTATATATTAGGAATTTTTTATATTTTATTTTTAAATATTCAATTGTGTTTCCTAAATGTATGTGATTTTTTTAAAGGAACCCCTTTCATGCTCATATCACGTCGAGGTACTGTAGAAGAGAAAACAACAAAATTCGATCAAAATATATTTTATAAATAATGAAGTATTTTACTAAAAGTATTAATATTTTTCATAAAAAAATAATGTAAAATATAAATTAACAAATAATTTGTATATAAATTTCATTATATGAATTATTAATTAATTTATTACTATGTATTTTATAACATTGTAATTTCTAATAAAGTTTTAATTATGTAATAAAATAGAATATAAAAATAAATTATAAGCGACATAATTAATAAATATTTAAAAAATATATTAGAAAAATAATTATATAATAAAACTAAAATGAAAATTAAATTTAAAATAATTAATTAGTTTAATATTTGCAACGGATCGGGTTTTGGAAAATGAATTGAGGCTTGCAAAACTCATCCCGAATCCGACTTCTTGTTATATTTATTTGATACTATTATTTTTTACTAATTTTTAATGAAATTCATATAATTTATTTAATTAATTTTTTACATCTTACTTTAATATTAAAATATTATTATTTTTAAATATTTATATCCAAATAAATTTACATAAGTTTTCCGGACGGTGATATAGTATTTTTATTTTGCTTTAATTTTAGTAAAATAAACCATAATTTAACAAAAATGAAAATATATTAAAATAATTACTAATGAAAAAAAAATTATGTGGATAAGAAAGATGATTAGTGTTTACAGAAAAATTTAAAAAAATATATTAAAATAAAATATTATTCTAAAACTTAAAAATTTATTTATCAAATACTTTAATCAGGTGTTTGGACGAACAAATAATTAGATGTTAATTAGTATTAAATAAGTTCAAAATTGTTGGATAAGTTGACAGTCAAATATTCTCTTACTCAGAAATTTTTTAAATGTGTTTTTTAAATATTTGAATTTTAAATATTAAAAATTTTAAATTTGAATTTATTTGATATTATATAAATAATGTTTCAAATATAAAATTAATAGTTAGTATAATATAAAAAAATAAGTAATTGATACTTTTAGAAAAAAAAATCATTGAATAAAATAAATTGTAAAAAAGTCGAAACAAAGACAAATTAACATATTTAAAAAACTGATGGATTTGAAAAAAAAAAATTAATTTGAATTTGATATTAAAATAATATATAATTAGATTATTTTTTTAAAAAAAATTCCAAAACTGCAGAAAAACACGAGGTTTGGAGATAAAATAAACAAACCCAAAGTTTTGTTGTTATAACATGAGTCAATTGAATAGCAATATGTGTCATATATTAATAGATGTCAAAGTCCAAGTTGCCATGTAACTGAATCATGGTCAGTAATTGCTTTATAGAATATGTATCAATAGGTTGATTTATTCAAGTTAATGAAATGAACTTTTTTATACCTGCATTCGGCTCTCCATCTCCCGGATCTCTCTCTCTTAATAATAAACACACACATTTATACATATATTTACATGTACACAACATTTATTCACAGTATTATGTATCAAGTATTCTATATTTCTTTGTTCCGTAAGGGATGACCTGATGGCGTGGGGAGTATATTTTTTACCGTAATATTAGATTTATACGAGGTTCACTCAGTATGCACTTTCGGATAGTAACTACGGATTCTCAAGTTATTAAAAAATTTAAAAAAAAAAAAAAAAGTATTCTATATCTCTTTCCAATTAAAACACACTTCTACACCCAAGTACACACCGTTTATATATATACATCTTTATTTACATACATCTATCTATACATGATATTGATATTTATAGGTACATTATATTTATAAATTTTTTCACGGTTATACATTTATATTATAGTATTCTACTTTTTTTTATTATACTCATTTCGTCTCATTTTAATTGACATCTTTTTTATTTTTACATGTTCCATTTAAATTGATTTTTTTTTTTTACTTTGGGTAAAATTTATAAAAAAAAAAAAAAATAATCAAATTTAAAACATACTTAACAAATATAAATTAATTTAATTAACTATATAATATATAACACTATGCATTAGGTAGGATTCACTCAAAACTCTTTTATTTATATCTCTCTCAAAGAAATAAATATTTTATTTACATTTAAAATTTCACATCTTTTATAAAATATATTTTTATTATATGAAAATTTATTTTCTACAAAATAATATTTATATAGCATATATGTTTATATGATATAAAATTTAAAATATTTAAATACATATTCTAAATTTTTTAAATCATATTTATTAACTTTATTTTAAAACTATCAATATTATTAATCAAATAAAAAATAGTAAAATAATATAATATTTTATTATTATTAATTAATTAAACACTATCACCTTAAATACCGTGTCCACCACAAAATGTGTCAAATATACCGGGACTAAGGGAGTATTATGTATTATAAATCTGTTGTCGCTGAAATCCATCAATGGCGTCCCAATAAAATTAGACCTGTTGAAATCGACAATAATCGGATTCTCCGACCTATTCAAGAAAGTATCCGACTTGTCTCGCAATCGAAAATTAATTGAACTAAAATATGCAGTAATTGAATTGTTGAAAGATGAGAAAGAACCGTAAAGAAAAAAAAAAAACTAGAAGAAAGAAATGAAATGAAATTAAATTGAATGAAACAATTTTGACAAGAATTTAGGCAACAAGAAATGGAAGTAAATTGTGCAGGAGAAATAAATGAAATAAATCTGGATTATTGTTGCATTGTGTTGGTTCGGATAGGATTGTGTTGTTATTTCATTTCATTGATTTCCTCTCTTTCCTTTTATACCTTATAACTTATCCCTAATTTTTTTTCACATATCCCCTTTGTTAGGAACCACTTCAACCACATTCTCCATCACTCCCACTCCTCATCCGTCCAGCATTAATGCTCATTTGGGCCGATTTTGTTTGTTGGACTTGTCTTTGGTTCAGCCGAGTTGGACTGCTTCTCCTTCAGGCCAGCTTATTTTGGGTTGCTGGGTCTTTGTATATGTTTGGCTGCCCTCTAAAAAATTCAGTACGAAATTATTTAGGAATAAAAAATGACCCAACAAAAATATTTTGGGCAAAAATGTCTTTTGCAGTCAAAATTATTTTTGTTGAATTCTTTTTCAAAAAAATACTCAACACGCGTGCTTCGGAGAAGTTTTTTTTTTTTTTTCACTAGCTTCACACACCACCGCTATCTTTCTTTCGTAATCCGGTGGAAGCAAGGATCATTATCTTTGCTTCTAGTGAGAGAAAATCCTCACATCTTCTCACCTGGCCTCATCCGTATTGCTTAGATTGATCTGTCCGATGACTGGCTGGATCCCAGAGGTCCGATCCTCCGTAATGTCCTAGTTTACTGGTTAGAATCATACGTTTCGGGCATCGTTGGGAGCTGTTCTGGATTGCCGTTGGGTTGGGTTTTCTTCGAGATCCCAAATTAATGGATAAAAAGGTTTTAGATACTTCCCGTTAATGAACGTCTTTAATTCTCCACCTTCGGATTCCATTAACTC